AAAACAAATGGCATACATTTATGAAACCAATCAAATGTTTGATTTGCTAGAGACTATTAAAATACTATACATTTTCACATTCTTAAAAACTATATCACATATTTTAATGACTACTCACTTAATGTACATATACAGAAATGAAACGTCATCTGAGTTTGTTCTTAATCATAACTTTGGCAAGTCAAAGATCTTGGCAAGTATGTCATATTTGAGTAAAGTTAAAATTCAATAATATATAATATACATAATTATGATTGTCTAAAGGGTAAAATTTTATTATGTTTCGTGAAAATATATTCCATATTTCACTGAAACGGAAAGCAACAATGAAAGCAACATTTTCAAATTTGAGTATTGACAGTATACTTACATTCTAAAACAACATGTTGTTATAGCCTGAAGAATGAGGGATGGTTATCTGTCCCCAGATTTTTTGACTGGTATTGAGAAGAAGCTCCGCCAAAATATTGGCTTTAACTATGTAAAGTGTTTAAAATGTCTGACTACACTGGCAGCCGTTGCTGCTAAATCTTCAGTCTCTGCTGTTCTATATACAGTCGTTTTTCCCCTGTTTCTAGTATTGCAGTTTCTATTTTAAGTTCCCGCCCCTCCCCTCAATTGAATCACGCCTGTTTCATTGGAACTTCCAACAGGGGCAGTTCCTATGACTGTTCTCTTTTTTAAAGGAACCGTTTTTGAAGCTTTACCACTATCACAATTGATATTATCAAGGCAATCGGGATTTTCATCGCAAGACAAGTCTATATTGCTAGACGACAGACCGGATCCTGCATGTGTCGTGTGATTGTGTGGTTTAGCATGATCGTAACCTTCTGCTCCAATTCACCTTCGTCTACGCAAAATAATGATTCGGTGAATATAAACAAGAGCTGTACACAATTTTCGCGGTACATGTATTCAAATGATAACACAACACAATCGTTAATATCTAACGAGTAAGCAACGAACGATTGCTTAACTATTGCTTTCGAGATACCCGCGCTAGTCACTCGTTAACCAACCCTCTGTCAATCGTTAGCACGTTCGTTAACGCAAATATAACGATAGCTTCGAGATACTAACCCCAGGTATTAGTTACCCGCACTCCAGAGCATGCCCATTGATTGGTTCATTTTTGCTGGGGTTTACATATTGCGACGGCAGAGAAAGGGAAAACGACGAAAATATCATATTCAGATGCTCTTTCATTGGTCACTTTTCTCCGGGGTTTTATATTGTGACAACAGGGAACGTGTTTTTATATTTGACTATGATACAAAAGAGAAAGAACATCAAAACACTCGGCAATCTGATTAATACTCGGGGGCTACGCCCCCTCGTACAAATCAGATAGCCTCGTGTTTCGATGCTCTTTCTATTACTTAACATACAATAACAACAACACAAAAAATCAAAGTGCTTAACAACAACACAAAAAATCAAAGTGCTGCAGCACTGAATGCGACGGACATGCAACCGGAGAGACATTAAGAAAAAAACACAAAATACATAACAGAGAAAAATTGTTCAATACAAGTTCAAGATTTGTAGAGCAATATATTTTGTGTCCCAAACTGATATAATTCAGATTTTCTTCTTTCAAGCATTTAAATACAGAATGAAAATCATGCCTAAAAACTCTGGTCAAACTTGTAAATCAGTGTCCTTATCGATTTATCTAAGAAATGATATGTAAATAGAACAAAAAACCGTCAACAAATTATTTCTAAAATAAAACCACGCAAATAAACTTCAAGCATAATACATTGTACATGTGAGAATGCTATCATAGTGGGCATATAGACAATAAAATATAAGTCATTTGTATTTTTATTTCTCTTGGATATATCTCATTAAAAATACTTTTGGTTAAAATCGTCAGCAATAAATAGTGTATTTTTCATATTTTTTTATTTACAAGAGGCCAGAGCACATCGTTTTTATTTTAATTCAAATGTCACTTAAACACTACAGTGTTTAGTTGTCCTTTTCAATTTCACACTAAATTCCATTTTCAACTTGATTGCTTCTTTCAATTGTATAGAATTTATAAAAGTATTGCATATAATCGGCTGGTTTATTACATCCCTAATCGCCTGTCCAAAAATCAGCACAGGTGGTGCAGAATCTTTTTTTAGAATAGCGAAGGTTAACTCATATCGTGACCTAGAAAAATATGTAAACAAACCACAAGAATCGGAAGTAGAACTGATATTATAACTTCCTTCAATAAAGATTACCATGAAAGACTACATGGTGGTAAAGTGATGTAAAACTCTCTTGTTACATGCATTTTCAAAAATAAGATATTTATATTAACCATTGTTCTGTATCTAATTTATTAATAACTGCTGAATATTCAGCTAAACCCGCGGTATGAGTCACAAAAATAGTTCTTCTTTTATTAATACGCGAGTTATTCTAGAGTCACGAAAAACTATTGATTTGTTAATAATAATGTTTTGTATAATGTAGAATCATTTATTTCCTACTAATAATTTCTTGTAACTCAGAGCTTACACCTTTATTATAGTATAATTTGCTATCCTACTTTTTCGACAGCGGTAAATCGTTTCGGCAGTAATTTGCATATTGCGCAATAATACTACGGGACTACAACGTTTTTCTCAATCATATACGTTCATATTTTAACTTGGATAACTTAATTTGAAATTGAAAAGGATAAATATGGAAGATATTAAGATATCCCGACAAAGTATGGGAGTTTTAAAGGATCAAATTCATGTACTATTTCTTGGGCTGTTAATCGGTTGAGGACACCTTGCGCGATTGTAGCCAACGAAATCCCATGTGTAGATGACTTAGCTCTGAACGCGCCTGAGGGCGCGTCCGTCGCAAAAACAACATCAACAAACAACAGATGATGAGGAAGATTAAAGTAACATATTTTTACTGTTTTAAAACTACAAATGATTGAAACGGTAGAATATTACACTGATTACACCAAATTCAAACAGTTCATGATGCAGCATGCTGGTGTTGAATGACCAGTATTTAACCTTTATAGGCCAGACTGCTGAGCTATGGAACACTTAGTTCGCCAGTATTAATTTTGTTTGTTTCTTTGGTGCGTGCGTACGTGTGCGTGCGCGTGTGTGTGCGTGCGTATAAACTTTCAAGTTCATTTGATATTTCTCCCGATTTATATCATTATATATTTCGTGTTGTTGTTGTTTTTGACCATGACTTTGAAATCTTATGAAAAAGTATATTTTAATTACATATTCGATAACATGCCCATTTATGAAATTTCAGATTTTCATGTATGAATTATCATTTTTTGCATTTTTCGAGGCAAAGGAGCGAAAATACGACGGAGAGAGGGCGAAAGTGCGACACATAAAAATCTGTCGTATATTTGCATTCTATCTGTCGTATTTTCGCTTTTTCGCGATCAAAATACAAAAATGCGAAAACACAAAGAGACGACAAAGTATTACTTTGCATTTTCGCTTTTTCGCACAGTTACATTTTCGCATAGTTATATTTTTTTTTACATTTTCGCGTTCCAGCTGTGCATGCGCATGGAGACATCAATTCATTATTTATTAGTCCTTTATAAGATATGTTGTATTCACGTAGATGTATAATTTATAGATATACTATGCTCAAATTTGATATCAGAAAATATTGATAATTGATACACGGTCTCTTTGTAAATATGAAATAAACATGTTTTGACTTCACACAAAGTTAATATGTAATGTTCTAAAGTCTACACACATAGGTCGTCACAATATGAATATAAAGTGTCATTAAAAAAACTGGCAGTTTTTTTAAAGAAAAGACCAACTTTATTTGTCCTGTATAAGAGAACGTGACTTCCAATATAGTTTGTTATTCATTTTTTATTTAAATTAGACATATTCAGTACGAATTTCATAGGTTTTAATACATTTCTTCGACTAAAATACTTGGCTCAAAGATGAGCATAGTATATCTTTAAAAGTATCACCCCGCTCCTTACATATGTAAAATAATTAAATAATATAACGGTAAGGCTTTCAGATTTTTTTTAATCATTTAATGCAACAATTATTATAATAAATACAGTTATTTGTTCCTACCATCTTTAGATTATCAGTTTATTTTGCTGACGGGTGTAACATGAGATTTACGATAAAGGCACTGCCAGCACACATCTTTTAATAGATGTCTGAGATTATGGTGTATTTTCACAGGAAAACATTTTATTATGTCTGTTATTCTAGTACTTGAGTTTTTAAAACGTACTTTATCTGATTACATAGACTGCATGTTGGATAAAGTTCATTTAAAATTTATATAATAATATGCAAAATCTTTTTTTTTCATTATTACATTATACCATGTTGTCAGGCTTCATCAGGTCTTTAATACAAAGATCTCTTGATGGTCATTCTGTCTTCACCATATTGCACGAATATCAATAAAAGGAGAAAAATAAAAATTCATAGAAAAATTCAAAAAACAGTATTTAGATCATATTGTATTATACTGTGCTTCTCTTAGTTCACGGTATTTAACGCAGGGAAGAAATAAATCAATGGTACAAAAAATATCATTAGCTGTAACGTTTAGGTGTTTTCAGATTCATGTCTCCATGCGCATGTGCAACCGGAACGCGAAAATGCGAAAATGTCACAATGCAAAAAAGCGAAAATGTAACAATGCGAAAATGTAACAATACGAAAAAGCGAAAATTTAACAATGCGAAAAAGCGAAAATACGACAGATGGAATGCGAATATACGACAGATTTTATGTGTTGTATTTTCGCTCTCCTTTTGTCGTATTTACGCTTTGTTGCCTCGAAAATGCGAAAAAGCGAAAACACGAAGGGACAACAAAGTTGGAACGACATGGCGTAAATCAGCCACCATACTATGGTATATACTTATAGTCATCAAAGAAGAAGTACATAAAATCTCCGTAATCTACTTCCCTCAAACATTATTGAAACTAATGAAATATTTAAAAATATGTCTCCTTCTCAATTACAGACAACATCCGGTGGATGACAGAATGGTGCTTGTGTCAAGGTCATTTGTATCGAGAAACACGTATACACTAGCAATAACGACAACTCTGATTGTTATTCTTACAGCATACGGATACAACAATGGTATATCAATGGTAAACACAGTTTTCTTTTAATTTTTCCATTTAACATGCTCTTTGAATATGAAATATGTTTAGTATTTTTACTTCTTCGGGTTTGACCATCAGAAATTATAACAAGCCCGTATCGTCTGATATATTAATTGGACTGTACACGACTGCTGTCAATTTATGAAGAAATTTCACGTTTCGTCTAAAAGATGCTTGCTGTGTATAAATTTGTTAAAATATTTCTGACAGGTTATATGGCCGTATATAAACCATCGTTTTTAAACAATCGTTTATATAGGGCTATATAACGTATCAAAATCTTTATAACTAATAATACCGATAATCTGTAATCAAGATCCGAAGACTGACGGAAACGGCCGAAAAGTTTGACGATTGATAGAGCCGTATTTTATCAACGAAAACACTGATAACTAAACCTATATTTATGGACCATCACCCGTGGCTAATTCCGTCTCAATCCAATTGCAATTATATTCTACCATTAATTATATATTTGTATTTTCTGATCGCAGATAAGGAACTACAATGCTGATATTCAATATCAGGAACAGCGTTTCCCAACAATCCTAACAACAAAAAGTAGTTCTCAAAGTATTGAAATATTACATACATGTCGGACTGTTTGAGGGAGAAGATTCTTGCTAAATTATTTTCATCAGTGTTAAACAACAGGTTTACCGTGACCAAAATATCTCGAAATTAATAAGGATTACAAACCCTAATTTACAATAATGTGGTTTGCTTCAGATTGTTTTCTTATAATTTCCCCGTGGTCCAGGGGTTAAAATTAGTTCTTTTTCAAAGGGACTGTCAATCGCATCTTTTCTCGGCCTTGTCCGCCAAACTTCGGATAAGGATTTCGAACACAATATTAACACTACAAAATTTTCGGCCTAACCTACTTTTAATGACTAATCATGTAAGTTTATTTCAAAATATCGGGTAAAATTCCGCCTAAATTAAAAAAAATGTTTACCTGTTGACATTAATTCGGATCTGTTTATAATTGTACATCAGTGAGTATTTTAAGCGGATTTATTATAACAAGACATATTTTCATAATTTTACCGAAATAATAATTATTTTTCTTTTGATGTCAGATATGTATACACATACATTATCAAACATTACATTGTCTGTATTTAAGGAGTTATGTTTTTCGAACAGGAAAATACAATGATGGCCATCAACGAATTTCAAAGCTTGACTCGTATTTACACCTAACGTAATTTTATATTTCATTTCAGAGCATGTTTCAGCATGATAGATATAGTATATTTGATCGGGATATAAATGAGAGTTTACTGTACCGGATACCGTCTGACAATCAACTAGATGGTATGGACGATAACACATTGTATCATACATTCTGGAAGTAAGTTGACCCTTACCATATACAATGTAATGAATTTTCGGAGAAGAACTTTATAAGATTTTATATCTTTCTTTATAGTCCATTTCAACATTGTATATAAGGAATGCATGTATATTTTTTGTTGTGTATGATTATGAATAAAATAAATTTAAACTAATGTTCTGAATTTGTGAAATTATTCGGAACACCCCGCCGATTATTCATAATCATCCCGGAAATAATACGGATTAGAATTAAGTTCTAAAACGTGACTTTGATGCAAACAAATATATTTAGTGGAAACGTTCTATAATGTGTAAAGTTTGTATCTACATGTAGTTGACAAAGGAAACAGATCATTTTTGGCAGAACAATGAGTGAAAGATATGCCTGATGATCAAATCCATTTCAGAATTCACAATGTTGAATGACACAGTTATAGCTAATTCTGAAATATTGTCAACATTTCGGTGTTCAAAACATATACATTTATCACATAAACCGCGGCGCAGGAGTGTAATAAAGCCATTTAATAAAAACGATATTACACTAGACAATATTACACTAGTGTAATAACACTTTGACGTCACGTCATTTGCACTATAAACATAGCGTTAAAGCGCGCTAATATCAGCGTTACACTATAGGCTCGTCAAAGAAAAATGACCTTTGTTAACAGTTTACCGTTCTTATTTTATATATGTGATAAATAGAATATTATATTCGTGTAGATTCAATACTAAATTTATTGAACTCGTTGAATAAAACAATATTATGCTCGCCAGAGGCTCGCATAATATGATTTTATTCAACTCGTTCAATAAATTTAGTATTAAACCTACACTCATTCAATATCCTCTATGTAATAATTTGTATTGAAATGATGTTATTTCTACTTTTATTTTTTATGAAACTTACTTAATTTAAGTCGAATTTTACACGCGATAAAATGAAATATAAAATCAAGAAATTTCAAAATGATAATATGAAGCTAACATTAAGTTAAAACCTGTTCTCTGGTCACACTGCAATGATGTGCAGGTCAGTTTGGAATTAATCAGGAGACATAGATAATGTATTATTACCGATAATGTATTATTACCGCTAGTTCTCTAATATAACTATAATGTTTTACACTCCACTAAGAAATCATCTAGTACTGGTAAACTGTTTGACAGCCTGTCCAGGAACGATGCGGTGGCTGAACTGTGCTCTGGTGAATTCAATGTGGCTTACTGTCATGGTCCGGAGTGAAAACTACCAACAACACCATCACCGCCATGATAATTATCATCATAGGAAAATGAGTATTATGTAATACATTCAACATAACACATTACATCGTTGAAATGCGCAACCCGAGAAAAACTCTTGTTTGTTTTTTTGTTTGTTTTAAAAGGGAATGAAAATACTGTACATAGGCTTCTGACATCTTGATCCGTATTAATTTTTGTATTAAAGAAATGTTAAATGAGCCGCGTCATGACAAAACCAACGTAATGCTTTTGCGACCAGCATGGATCCAGACCAGCCTGCGCATCCTAGCAGTCTGATCAGGATCCATGCTGTTCGCTTACCGACTATTACAAGTAGAGAAACTGATAGCAAACAGCATGGATCCTGATCAGACTGCGCGGATGCGCAGGCTGGTCTGGATCCATGCTGGTCGCTAACACACTATTTTGGTTTTGTCATGTCGCGGCTCAAATTATTTTATAATTTCAGTCTACATTCAATTTCTTTACAGAGATTGTTAGTTTTATTACTATAGAAGATAACGAAGCTGTAGGAAAACGGGATTAGTTTTCATGCTAAACCTATAATTTGTAAATCCGGCTGAATATAACTATATAATTAATGTACTGTACTGAATTTTTTTTTAAAGAAATGCTTCGTCTTTAGGTCTTATATAGTGTTTATATTAGCCAATGTGATCACATAGAGCTGCGAGGTTAGCTTTTGTTATCGCATTATGTTTGTCGTTTGTCCATTGTGAGTCGTCCGTCGTTATTTAAAAATTCACATCAAACATGTCTTTCTAACCCATGAGAAAGATTTTGACTTATCTTCACATTCAACCATCTACAAAAGTGATTTAAATTGCTGCATTCTAATTCTTAAATAGTACATAGGAGCTAGAAATATACTTAAAAATGAAATCTTTAAAAATCCTCTTTCCCTCTGTAATTATTGATTGCGAAAATGAATGGGTATTCAGCATGTAGCCCCGCCCGTGGTATTCTGTAAACTAATCATTTCATTGGCCTAGCATTGAGTATCACTTAACACATACATAGAAAAATACATTTAAGTCTTCTTTTATGAAACTGGATGGTCCCCGGCGCATAGATTTGACGTGTCGCATTACCTTTAAAAAAGTCACATCAATCATGATCCTGAAGTCAAAATTGACCCCGTCCTGAGTGTAAACTTTGTTAACAAGACTGATGTTGTCAAACTTTGAAATAAGACCTCGAAACCATTAGTAGGATTACAGAGAAACGATACGAACTTTCGATCTAACATACGCTACGACATTTAAACATTCAATTAACAAATAGTAGTTAACTGTTAGGATTAGTTGACTCGGATTATTTAATTATTATTATATCGTGTGCAAGTATAATAAAAATTTTAAACAAGTAAATTTTATAATTGTGCTTCTTGAAACCTAAATACAAAATGTATACCTGTGGACGATATTTGGGACATCCCTAATTCGAAACTGATAGTCACCACCGTACATATCCAGTAACGCAGAAATGTGCAAATAACGCCAAAGTAACGCAGAATCTGTGCAACGCTATTGTCAAAAAGATTAACGCAATAAGTAAAACAAAATATTGTGTTCTAAATAAAATTTAAAGAAGTGAATGAGCGCATACGGCTGCTACTTTAACCAGCATTACATTTTTTTCATTAATAAATTTACTTCTTTCGATCATTCGTGAGAAAGACAGTCTGATTATGACTTTGATGTTTCGTCAAATAAATATGTCCATGTAACACATTTAAAACATTATTTTTTTCAAATTCTTTATACATAAGACATTTTTCAAACTACAAGTATTGTATAATTATAGAAGGAAGCAGGGAAAATAAAAATTAGGTTATTTTAATGAGATGACCGCCGTTGCTTTAATGCTTTATTCACGAATTCGGCGTTACTTCGTAAAATGGTCTCAATTACGTATGGTCACACTTAATTTAAAAAAAATTTCAATGGATGGCAAATAAAATAATAATAAATAAATAAATAATTTCATTGCTCATTGTTTTTCGCTTCGTGGGGACGCGGCGACATATAATGTTTTGCTTATGCATGGGGTGTGTAATCGTTTATGAGCAGCAAAATAGGTATTGTGCAATGATCATCAAAAGAAATGTGCATAGAACTACATTTTTCAATCAAAATATTGCTTCCGAAACGATAATGAATAATCGGCGATCTGTTCAAATTTGCCCAAGGGATTACTTAGTTTATATATATTTAGGTAAAGTCTTATTGTTTGAAACTACAAATTGAATGCGCATAGCTTATATATTTGGTAAATATCATTGTCTAGTGAACTGCCACACAATTTCAAAGGCAGGTTATCTCATAAGTCAGAAACCTGCACATAATACTCGAAAGAGGGTGTTACAGTATAGATATATAGATAGAAATCAAAATTTCTTTGTAAAGAAACGTCAAACATGTGTTTAATAATGTTTTATTCATGGATTAGAGCGTGTTAGATGTTGAACAATGCAGTAATGTATGGTAAGGGTAGCAAAATGTGAACAAAGTAGTATTTTGACTGCCATAGAAAATATGAAACCAGTAGTATTATGACTCTTTCTCTGGTTCAAGCATGTGAAAACAGTAAAGATATTATACTTCTTTCATTTCTTAGCACTACATTAATAGAGTTAAGATATTTTGGATATTGTATTCCTAGAGGACCTCTAGAAATTTTTTAAGTGACCCAATTATCTTCTTATGCATTGGAGTATTAGGGCCATATAAGGCTCGAATCCGATGTCACCGTGCTCCCGATATTTAATTTTTATATGAATTGACAAACAATGACTAAAAACATGTTGCTATTGTAAATGATTATTTGATTATTTTATATTGTTGGTTTCAGGTATATTAATTTGCCACAATTCCGTTGCTATGATATAACGAGACTTGGTCACAATGCCTCTCTTATTTCATATTTATATGAACTGACTAATACAGAAAGCATGTAATTATTGTTTTAATTGAGCCGCGCAGTCTGATCAGGATCCATGGTGTTCGCTATCAGTTTCTCAACTTATAGGGTTTGTAAGCGAACATCATGGATCCTGATCAGACTGCGCGGATCTGGATCCATGTTGGTCGCAAACCCATTTTGTTGGTTTTGTCATGGCGCGGCTCATATGATGATAATAACATATGTTGATGATTTCAGGTATATAAATTTGCCGCAATATCGTTGTTATAATAGAACGAGACTTGGTCCAACCAAGAGCGACAAGGGAAAGAATATTTGCGCAGACGACAAATTCAAGCCTGCACCATCATCCTGTCTGGTGTATTCATTTGGGTGAGGCTTTTTTTGACATATTTTAAACGATATGAGAGGAGGATTTTGTTCTTAAATAAAATATATACAAATGTGAATTAAAAAAATTTGCAGCTTCGAAATAAATAGGTAAGTCAGCAAAAATGTATTGTCATATAGTAAAAGTTGGAACAATCATCACCATTAGAAGGTTTGTAATTTCCGGAGTTCCCCAGGGTTCTATTATTTTCCCACTCTTTTATTTTTATTACATGTATATATAAATAGCATCTCGTTATCTTAAACAAACATCAATTTACCATAAATATACCCTGTATATATCCCCAATCATAATTTGAATGTAGTAGAAGTTTAACTTCAACAGAAGTTGAAATTTTGATGCGATAAATCAGTGCTGAAATTATGCAATATGTTAATTCATCCAAACAAGACAAACTGCATGGTGTAATTGACGAAGCAACAAACGTAATTTATTGTAAAGAATTATCTTTAGGTATTGTCAAGTAAAAAAAAAGAAAGCGAAAAGAAATGAAATATAGATATTTATATAGATGGTAAATTGTCATAGGACTCTTTGAAAACGTAGCTTTATTTAGACGTATTACTTACATCTTGACAAATTGTTCTGAAACAGTTATTTTATAATTCGTATATAACGTCGAACTTCGATCACATGCATTTCTTTACTGTTTTGAGTAAATGAAAATTAAGGTCTTTAAAGAAAAAAAACAAAGTAGAAGTAGATCTGCGAAAATTATTGTTTAACAAAACAACCCAGATAAACATACTAATTATGGTGACCGAACATTGATATACAACGTAATTACGTTCCCAAAGACTCGTATTTTTATAGCATGTAACAATGTAATTCCTTATTATATTTTTACAAAATATAAGATTATGATGCAGTACAAAGATATCTCTGTGATGGCAAGGATCTTTCACTTTAATTCGGGAGATGTCCACTATATCATAATCACGCGACATTTAGTTGAGAAATTATATATAATAAATAAAAAGCCTTAAAAGGAATTTTACATCAAATCAACTCAGTTGACTTAGATCTACGGTATTTTTTTTCCATTTATATTAACACTTGAAAACTCGACCTTTGTATCCCATGCGTATTCGTTACATACTTTCATTCGCGATGTAGTTAAATAGCGAAATCAGTACCCGTGGGTTGCGATGATATTGTAAACTTGTAAGATGCAAATGATCAAAGTTGACCTTCTATTCAAATTGATGGTAAAACTTTGGTTTCGTCGTTTTTGTTATCTCGACTCGAAAAAAAGTGAATAAAATAAAAAAAGAGTTATTGTTACAGTCATGACGGCGTAACTGTTGCCGTCCACAAACTTTAACCTTGATCATAACTTTTTAAGTTCTGAGCGTGTTGTCTTCATACTTGGCCACAACAATCCTTGAGACAAGACCCTCAAGTAGACTGCACTTACATCGACCTTCATTTATAAAAGACCTTGACACTCAAGGTTAACTTGATTTTTTGCTGATGTTTGCTATTAGTGGCTATAATTTTCATATTAGTGGCTATAACTTTCAATATATATTGTCTTCAAGCTGGAACATAATGATCTTCTAGGATAGGCCTTTAAGTTGACCACACAGACGTTGACCTTCACTCATAAGTGACTTTGACATTGAAGGTCAAATTATTGAAACTGTTTTATTTTGCTGAAACTGGTTATAACTTTGTTATTAATAAATTGATTGACTTCATATTAAGATAAAACATCTTTAGGTTAAGACCTTTTTGTATATCAAACTAGAAACAATCTGGAAACAAAGTGATCCCTCGGAAGCATTAATCACAACAAAATAACAAGAGAATTGCAGACTCTGTTTGATTGAGTCTGTACATGAGGGAAAATGGATACGTGCAATATCCCTCACGCCACCGTAGCACCGGCTTTAGCGGTACTCAAGAGCGGTACTCAATTCTCAACACTTAATAGTGCTGGCATCAATGATTCCGAAGGACCAGAAAAATATAAAATTGATCTTTGCTTATTTATGACATTAACCTTGAAGGTTAAATTATTGAAATTTCTCTGATTTTTGCTATAATTAAATAAAATTTGGTAATTATTCAATGGATTATCTTCATACATGAACAAAACAACCTTTTTGACAAGACTTTCTTAAATGTTGAACTGACCTTGACCTTTAAATGACAATGACCGTCAAGGTCAAATTATTGTTTGCTGGTTAAACTTTCAACATTTTGTTATTTATGTACAGATTTGATTTATTCTTGGATAAAAGAAGACTTGCTTCAAACAAACATATTGAATAATTTAGATGTGATCTGACCTTTAATTGATCTCGACCATCAAATTAATGAAATTGTCTTGTTTTTTCTTTCTTTCTGTAACTGTCTATAACTTTGTTATTTATAAATGGATTAACTTCATATATATATATATATATATATATATATATATATATATATATATATATTAAACACAAAGTATTTTAGATCAGGACCTCAATGTATATCAAACATGGGTGCAAGTTTTCAGCATATGCCTGAAACTCAGGTGTTTTTTTTGTGACAAATTTCATCATGATTTTTTAACTTATAGATTATGAGTGTATGAAAATGATTATGAATAAAGTTTTTCAGGTTTTTCCAAATTTTCAACTTGCACCCATGTATCAAACTCAAAATGACCTTGACTCATGCATGACTTTGACCTTGAATTCTGTTGATATTTTCTTAACTTTGTCATTTATTTATGAAAATGATTCATACTTGAACAATACAAGAAGGTTGACTAGACAAACCTATTAAACCATTTATGTGTTTGCTTTTAGAAAAAGTAAAAAAGTCGAGCTCTGCCCCCGCCTGGCGGAGGCTATTTTGTTTATTTTTTCAAGTTTTGATGGTTGCTCAAAGAAAAGAAAAAATCTTTCGAAGACGCACAAAATGTAAAAAATGTTGTTGTTTCGAAATCGTACCAATTCTGAAAGACATCTTTGTTTTAAAGTGCACATTAGTTTTATTTTGGTATTATACGTATCAGCATAAATAAGATGTACAAATGACAAATAATGTATAATATTTCTGTCCTTTTTTCAGGTCTAACTTTGACTTTCAATTTGAGGAAGCAGTTTGGAGAACTTACAAATGTGAAATACATACATTTGATCCTAGGTATTTGCTTTATTTAAACTTTTCCTGCCCTGTTCATTTAACATTCATTTCGAAAAAAATAAGTGTATAATGTTGTTATTAATTTCATTTTAACTGGGATATGATTATATCATGTTTTAAGAATCTCATGAGCAGCGATGACACAGGGATCCTGATTACGATCTAACGCTTTGTTGTATACCATTGAAGCTATAGTCTTTTGAGATCAAACTATTATATTAATCATCCTCGTTCCATTTCCATAGAAAATAATTGTAATGAAAAACAATTATGCACTTCTTAACTAATTGCAACTTTTTGGCAACTATCAAACTTAGGTGATCGGTGAGGTGTTCCAAATGTATTCTATGCGGAACACCTCGCTAATTACCCGTAATAATTTTAAAGTATCCTTTGCATAAAAGCCTACTTACCAAAAGACTGTTTTCGTTCAATATATTCCTATTATTTTGTTCGAGGTCCTCATCTGATAAAGGACCGGAAAGTTGCGACTGCATGTTTATCTAGATGTATTTTATCAATATTACAGTCGATCAGTAACTGGTGTTACTATACCAAATGAAGTAAACTTTCATCTGATTGGGTTATCAGGCAAAAGTTACATCCGATCATCACCTGAGAATTGGAGAACTCTTCAAAAGGAAAGTCGTACAGACTGGAAAATGCAAACACTTAATGAAATAATTAAGTCCCTTAACCACACAAACGTGAGTAATTAAAAAAAAGTTTATCATTTTCATCAACGTTCTTAGACTAATTAAATTGCTTTGGGTTAGAACCGAATTATATCTGCTATTTTGACAAACATCATTCTTTCAGTTATAGGTACATGTACAAGTAATTTTGTATGATATTTTTTGAAGAGAAACAAAAAACATTTTACCGATTACAGACACGAATTTTACCATCTAAAAATATATAAGACCCAGTTTTGCTTGAAGTTTATAGTAATGCGCAATGTTTAAATCTTAAATATCTGGAACCGAAATTGATTAGGCTTTGCTTGCAGTATATAGTCAGGCCAGCCTACATGAACTTGCAGTCTGACCAGGCTCAATGCTGTTTCATCTTAATATACCCAAACTTGATAATGGACAATGCCAAAAACTTGAAGATTGAGAAGTCCATAAACAAATACACCAGGTTCAACTAATATAGCCATTCTTTGGTGCACTTCATGATTTTTGATACTCTTTTTCTTAAAGTAAAATTGTATTTTACCTTCGCGTCGACGGTTTTTCTGCAAAAAAATGGTCCGAGTGGGAGCATTTAGCAGGTGTGCGATGACGTAGTATCCTACCATTGAACCTGGTGTATTAATTTATGGACTTCCCCATCTTCCAGTTTTTGGCACTGTCCATTATCGACGGATTTTCTGCAAAAATGGTTCGAGTGGAGGCAATTAGCAGGTGCGCGATGACGTAGTATCCTACCATTGAACCTGGTGTATTAATTTATGGACTTCCCCATCTTCCAGTTTTTGGCACTGTCCATTATCGACGGATTTTCTGCAAAAATGGTTCGAGTGGAGGCAATTAGCAGCTGCGCGATGACGTAGTATCCTACCATTGAGGTTAATGGTTGAAATAACTTAATTATTGACTAACAAATTTTTTATTGCTTTCAGAGAAATATTGACATCTTAAAGATTGATATAGAAGGATGGGAGTGGAGTACACTACCGGAGATTATTACCTCAGGAGTTCTTCCATATGTTAAACAAATTTGTATTGAAATTCACTTTGGTTATGGATTCCAAGTTTTATATAAAGCAAAGAAACCCGTGGCGGTAAAGTTCACATCCGAAAAATGGGGAAACGTTGAGATTCCGGATCAGTTGAAGGTGTTAAGAAACTTAAATGACACCGGTTTTCGAATATTTATGATCGATCCCATAAGACATTGGGGAACTAGACATGTTCATAGTCCTGCACTAGATGTTGACACTCTAATGGAACTTTCACTAGTGAATATAAATAAATTAGCTATAGTTCCAGGTAGTTAATATTTCATTGGAATAGCTGTCATAAGAAATAGTTCAAACAGTTTTACAAGGTACAGGGAACTGCAGTGAAACCTGGAAAAATCCAGTACATGAACACTATGAAAACATGTAGTTCCATGGAATTAAGACTTAAACACAGTCAGTTAGTATAAGTGTTTTAAGAAAGGAGTTAGTGTAACTTGTTTATACAAAAAGTTTTTAGAACTAATATGGTAATGACATTAAAGCTAGTTCACAAAGAAGCTAGACCGATAATTTATAAAAAATGTTTGGTAAATCATTTCATATGAAGTTTGGAAATTTTTCATTTTTTTAAACATTTGGATATATTATCTATTTATCGATCTTTTGATATAGATCGGAACGTCAATTTTATGTTTCATTATAATGTTGTGTGATATTTTTTTTATCAAATGAAATAAGAAAGATTGTGCAAAAATATCTACGCATGGTGATCTAGTCAGAGGTTTTGAAAGTTATCCCCAGGATACTTCAATAGTTAATGTGAAAACCTTACTGCTTGAATATGACAAAAAAGGAATGTTAAAACATGTTTGGACAACAAGTCATTTCACGTGATTGTTGTCAACCATACAAACCTTTTTATATACAATTATGAACAACAACAACAACAGCCACCACCACCACCACCGCAACGACAACAACAACAACAGACGTGGAAATTTTGCTGTTGAAGAGAGCAAAGTTAAATAATTTCTTTAATAGTTTTTATTTTGATTTATGTGAACAACGATCGATTCAGTGGATGACTTGTGAAAAATAATTCTTGGTGATGAACGTAAATACTGTCATATCAGAAAAAAACATTTACCAACGAAAACATTGTTTGAAGCTGCAACGATACATTTTATATTTAACTACATGAAGAGATTGATTTTAGAATTATCAAGCCATTGAAGTGATATATTTATTTTTTATATAAAGAAAAGAATCAACGGTTTTGGTTATATTTTTTGGTCATTATTTACTAGTACAGTACTTAATAAATGACCTTGCCCTTGAAGGTCAAATTGTTAATTATGCTTGATTTGTACCATAACTGGCTATTACTTTTTTATTTATGAATACATTGCTTCATACTTTGATACAACTAAAGACCTTCAAGAACACTAAACTTAAATTTTACCTTGTATCATAAATGATTTTGATCTTGAAGGTCAGATTATTGAATTTTGTAAATATATAATTTGCTATCACTTTATTACATTTATGAATAGACTGTCTACATACTTTGACACAGCAACGCTTAGAACTAGAACGAGAACTTCAAGGCGATGATTTAATGCATGTGACTTTATATTTGACTTTAACATTCAATGTCATATTATTGAATTTTGCCTAAACTGCCAACACCTTTGACAAAACTAACATGTTGAATAATATATTTCGCATATGATCTTGACCTTTGAATGCCATAGATCGCCAGGATCAAATTTTTGTTTAAATTATCATAACGTGAACATATTCATTCATACTAGGACAAAATAACATTTTTACAAAACTGACTGTTTAAAATTTAAATGTGACCTTGATCTTTAAATAACCCAGGTCGCTCAAGACCAACTTATTGTATTTTGCTTAGATTTCTATAAAATGGTATTTATCAATTGATTTAATGCATGGAGAAAACAGCAATTATGACAAAACCTACATGTTGGACATGTTGGATGATTCAAAGATAGCATTGATCTTAATATAACCTTAACGTCAATGTAAAGTTATTAAATTAATGTAAGTTCTAAATTGTGATAACTTTATTTTTAAAGGTAACTTTAAATTATACTTCGACAAAACGACTCCTGTATTTTGCTTAAATTGTCATACCTTTGATATGTTTTTACGGTTTTGAAATATACTTGGACATGACCAAAACAACGCCAATGACAAAACGGACGTGTTGAATAATTGAAATATGGCCTTCACTTTAAAATGGTCTTAGCCGTTCATGTCTAGCTAATGAATATTGCTTATATTGACAAAATTTGCTACCTATTTATTGATTTGATAAATACTTTGACAAAACTAAGCTCATCACAAGACCGACATGTTGGATAATTTGAATCTGACCTTAACATGACCATGACCGTGATGATAAAGTCAATGAATTTTGCTTAAATTGCGTATTTTTGTTATTAATGGACATATTTGATTCATTTATTGACTTCACACTTACATCAACACCTACATATTGAATATTTTATATGTGACTTTTATATGTTCATAACTTTGATTGTCAAGATAAGATATGTTTTTTTTTATAATTCCGTACAAAAAGGTGTTTAATTTCAAAACCATTCACAATGTTCTTCCTCCGATGTTCTCTGAAGCGTTTACTAACTCTTTTCAAAAACTGTGTATATATCTTTCTGTGCATTTCCTCCTCTTTCCGTGTTTTTACTTATTTATCTTTCGGTAAAGTGGCATGTCGTCATAATGTATAACATTCGGAACTGCCTCGGCTATTATCTATAATATCCGAAGACTGACGGAAAAGGTCGAGTAGTTGAATGCACAGGGGGCCCACACAGTGTTTGGATGGTATATACTGCTTGATAGTGACCTTAAAATGAGATTTTAGTCATAACCTTATAATATGTATATAAATATAGACAAGGGGCATTACTCGCTAAATAGAGAATTTTCGATCACCCTCAAATTCATGCGAGATTTTCCACTAATTAAATAAAAAAAATCCAAAAACTATACTGCGTTGCATAGCTTATATAATCCACAATTGATAAACACTAACTCTTTTCTGATTCCCTTATCCCATTTTTAGAAATTTATTCAAAACCGTTCACTTCTGTCACAAAATTGCTTAGTCGTACGAGATGTCGCAACACCAAATTCCACGGGTAAAATATCAATTTTAAAAGGGGTAGGTACAAATTAACGCATGCAAACAATAACACAACATAGTTTCTATTACCTACCTGCGCAAATAGTCGTGAAGCGCTCTATATTCGTCTGTACATGTTGGAAATTCTGGTCATGGTGTATGGAAACCTTTCATTGGTTGTCGTTATAAACAAAGTTCCTACCGAACCAATGAAAGGTCTCGATACACCGGCTGGTCACGTGACCGGGGTTTCCCCAAGATGTCTACGTCGAAGCAGATTTCTGCTCTGAGTTGAAGATTTCGTTCGAAACAGACGAATATAGAGCGCTTCACGACTATTTGCGCAGGTAGGTAATAGAAACTATGTTGTGTTATTGTTTGCATGCGTTTATTTGTACCTACCCCTTTTAAAATTGATATTTTACCCGTGGAATTTGGTGTTGCGACATCTCGTACGACTAAGCAATTTTGTGACAGAAGTGAACGGTTTTGAATAAATTTCTTAAAATGGGCTAAGGGAATCAGAAAAGAGTTAGTGTTTATCAATTGTGGATTATATAAGCTATGCAACGCAGTATAGTTTTTGGATTTTTTTTATTTAATTAGTGGTAAATCTCGCATGAATTTGAGGGTGATCGAAAATTCTCTATTTAGCGAGTAATGCCCCTTGTCTATATTTATATACATATTATAAGGTTATGACTAAAATCTCATTTTAAGGTCACTATCAATCAGTATATACCATCCAAACACTGTGTGGGCCCCCTGTGCATGTCTATATTTATATACATATTATAAGGTTATGACTAAAATCTCATTTTAAGGTCACTATCAAGCAGTATATACCATCCAAACACTTTGTGGTCCTACCCTGTGGTTGAATGTATAATCATAAATAACTAAGGCAATATTTATCATACGAATTTTGCTGACAGTACCGGTAGTAGACTTTATTTATGACTTCATCTCAGGAATGTAGATGGTTGTAGGGTCAGTTTTCTGCTGTTATCTTATATTCGTGTTTTTGTTATGTTTGGCAAAAGTTACACTGGAAGGCTTAACAAACTGTGGCAGATCATTATACATGTATTTTTGTCTTTATTAATAAACAATTTATTGTGTGTGTGTTTTTTATCAGGACCAATATTTGGACAAAAAGTTAAAGTAATGTAGTAAAGTAAAGTAATGTATAATACCATATCGTCTTGTGTTACATATCGATGATTTGTTATTATTTTATATATGTTTTAGCTCACCTGTCACAAAGTGACATCGTGAGCTTTTGTGATCGCTTTTCGTCCGGCGTCCGTCCGTCCGTAAAGTTTCACTTTATACGATATCTCCTCATAAAACCGCTTAGCCAATTTCATCCAAACTTCACAGGAATGTTCCGTTAGTAGTCAACTTAGAAAATTGTTCAAAGAATTTTATTTCATGCAGAACTTTGGTTTTCATGGCAACCGAAAGAAAAAAACTTTAAAAAATCTTCTTTTTTTAAAAAAAACAACTAAAGAGCTAGAGCTTAGATTTTTATCATGAAACATCTTCTAATGGGTGGCTACCAAGTTTGTACAAATAAATGCCCATGGGTAAAATTGTCCCGCCCCGGGGGCCTATATACAGGTGAGCGATTTCATGGCCATCTTGTTGTATTGAATTGTATCAGTATTCGAGACGCAAAATGTTAATTTTGAAAGTTTACATAATTTACAATATACCTAGGTATAAAATTTAATAAAACATTCAGCATTATTATGACTGATTCTCAGTTTCGTTTTAATTTTCAGTGTTGTAAATGTGACATATAAGTTTTAACGTTAAATGTGTAAAATGATATTTGTATAGAGATATACGTATTTAGTTAAATTATGTGGTTATTTGAATCTTAAAACATAACATGACTAGAAGACATTTTCACGTCCGTTGCATGTTAATTTTAAAATTTTAGCTCACCTGTATTGACAGATACCATTGAGCTTGCTTCCGGCATTGGGATGATGGTCAAATAAAATAAAAATGAGACACCAGACAAATTAAACTACATTTTTGTACACGTATGTTATGATCATCTCTCACTTCAACATCTCGTGTGTCTGTATATATAGTAATAGGTCTGCCAAATTTTGAAAGTAGGGATATTGATTAAGATGTTTAAAAATGAAGGCGAATACTGCTTGTCCAAATAATAATTTATAAGGCTTAAGTGTATATTGAAACAAGTGAGAATTCATCTTTTAAGATTAGTGTTGCGGTTCTAGCTCTTGCCATTAATTATCTTTTAACACTTGATATAAATATGTAACGATTGCAAAACAATCCATTATAGGAGTATAAGAGTACTGCATTTCATGCATATGACTGAGCCGCGTCATGACAAAACCAACATAGTGGGTTTGCGACCAGCATGGATCCAGACCAGCCTGCGCATCCGCGCAGTCTGATCAGGATCCATGCTGTTCGCTATCAGTAATTGGGGTGGTAAGCGAACAGAATGGATCCTCATCAGACTGCGCGGATGCGCAGGCTGGTCTGGATCCATGCTGGTCGCAAACCCACTATGTTGGTTTTGTCATGACGCGGCTCATATATATATATGGAATGGAAGGTAGTCAAAATATATTAACGTGCCAAAGCTTGATTCTGAGATATTTTCGTTCTGGGGCAGAATCTCGCGTAGAGGCGAGATATTGCCCAGACACGAAAATATAGCACAATATCTCGTCGAGCAGTACAATTAGTTGGACTAATATGGAAGGTAACTTTTCATCATTTAATTACCTGTATAATTTCATCATTACTGATCAAGTGTTTATGAGGAGAGGTTGTTTATTTAAAAATGTTCAAGGAAGGACGAAAATGCTTCCACACTTTAAGTTAGATATACGCTTCGTTACTTCACTGCCTAATCAAGTGCTCAAGGCTTCTCGGCCGAGGCCCAACACCGCAACTTACCAGTGGCTAATCACAAGTCAAAAATAAATGTACATTTGCATTTCATATTTAACACAGATATATATTTCTCACAAACGTGTCCAACTTCTAGTTTTCTAGACAGTAGACAGTCTGTTTTTATATTGTTTTGGTCACGAACATTAACTACAAAATAGTTAATTTACATTATTTGCGAACGTCAATAATTAGAATCACATGCTTTCTTAAAAATGCACAGCCTGAAAATAAAAACTAAAAGGGGAGATATGCACCTTCTGTTTTTTCCACCATTTAAAGTCTTCTACATACCCTAATAAGAGCTGATTGACCGACTCTCTCCAAAACCACATATTCGCACCCGACAGGTACTCCCCCAAAATGCATGGAAATATTGTAACTGTTAACAGAGACATAATTTATATCTACATATTTAGAAACTTAAATAACAACTCCAATTTCAAACTGTGTGTTATTTGTAAATTTGACCTGGCCAATTCTGTGCACTTTTTCTAAATTCACGGCTACTGGCAGTATGCTCCTTTAACATAGTCGCACTTTGGTATAGTTTCTCTTAGGTATTAAAAGAACCTTAAAATGATGCTTTAACCTCAAATGTACCTTCTTCAAATGTACATCTCTTATCAAACTTCGTTTGAAGCTAGCATTTTACACTTGGGAGAATTATCCAATGCAAGAACAGGCTTATTTCACTAAATAACTTACTAATGTTCTGATTTAGGAAAGCATTTCATGATTTGAATTCACCAACATGACCAAAAAAAAGGTAATGAAAAACGCCATCGTCGGATATCCACGGTTGATTAACATGTCACATAACATGATAAATTTTAATGGTTCAACCGGGAGTATCTGTTTCGAAGTATTTAACCATTTGATTCAAGGGAGACAATCCAAATAGCCTTATAGAAGTTCTGAACAAATCCCACGTGTATCTAATTAGGATGAAATACGATACTCCGCATTTCCTAGTCAATAGATAAAATGTTAGCCAGATGTACCAGGAGTATCATTTAGGTGTAGTACTGCTCGACGAGATATTGTGCTATTTTATGTCTGGGCAATATCTCGCCTCTACGTAAAACCCAGAACGAAAATATCTCAGAATCAAGTTTTTGCACGACAATATATTTTGACTACATTTAAGTGATAATATACAAAAAGAAAACTCGTGATTTTATTGTGTAAATATAATAGCTGGATTAAAAAAAAAGAATTTTATAGAAATGCGGACATATCGCCCATCACTGAGAGGGCATAGCTACAAGAGATCTCGGGTAAAGCGTGCCAACTGGTTTAAAAAGGGACATGTACCTTACTTTAGAAGAAAAACAAGTGAAAACTTACAGGATCAAACTTCTGAAAGCACAACTTTTCGCCGTCTTAATTATGATGAAGCTAGAGATGTTATTCACTTGTGTAAAGATGAGAATACAATTCCGTACAAACTTAAACCTCAACCTGAAAAGAAAAATATAACTATAAACAATGAAGTGGATGAAAACATAATTGCAAATGTCAAGCAACTGCAGCTGCTATTACAAAGTATACATTCGTGTAGATCCCCGGCGCTGAAATTGAATATTGAAAAGAGACAGGGACTTCATATCACCCTGTCAGCAAAGTGTACCAGTTGCAAGATGGTCACTCCAAACTTAAGCATGTCCGACACTGAATCGAATACAAGAGGACAACCCTCCGGAGCGCTATAATAAAATGCTGGTTTTACTAATATTCAAGTCAAAAGTCGGCATCGGTGACGTTAGTATTGACTGGACTTGCTTGAACATTAAACCACCTCGTCATACATGTGGAAAAAAAACAACAAAAAACAAAAACAAAACCAGTTTAAGTGACAGTGCAACTATCTTAACTAGAAGTCCATGATTCAGAACCAGGAACACATGAAACAGGTATAAACTACCCTGACTGGAAAATATTGTGTGTGGTGGACGTACAATTCGATGTTTCATTTTCTCGGCGACCGATGAGCGGTTTCGAAACTGCGCAGCAAAGCTATGGTGTTGCAGTTCGAAAGCAACACACCGAAACAGTTACCGTGTTAACACATCGAAACTGTGTACTGCCTCCCAAACCCATTACAAATGGAGGCTAAAAATTGTGTTGAAATCTGCGTATTGATTGCCGAGAAACAAGATAACTACGTACGGTAATCTTTAAAGCACAGTATGCCACAGAAACAAATTAAAAAAATCTTTAGAAAGAACAAACATGACTTAAGTAATGTTTAAATAGCGATTTACGAGCATGTTAGAGGCTTATAAACTGAAAAAGTAACGCTAACTGAAATTGTCATAAAAGAAGCAATATGTACAAAATACTAAATCACTGAAGCGTAATGTGATTCAGTTAATTGGCAAATGAATTAGTGTTTGTAAACTGTAACAGGACAGCAAATATAAAATGATTTTAAGAAAGCAAATAATAGCCTGTCTTGCGCACAATGGACCTTTAAATTACATATTTTGTATAATATGTTAGTTAGTTTTGTGTGTCGGAATTGTTATTTATTAATACAGGACCAATAAGAATTAAAGACCTATACATGTATATGATTATAATTACACTACAGTATTAGCGAAGTTTACGCATTAACACAACTATCTTTAAACTTTTTATAATGTTTATTTTAGCTAACCTTTGCATAATTACTTTTTTATATAAAAAAAGAAGAAATATTGTTTGTACATGTGTGGATATTTATTTGTTCATCTTTTCAATAATTCTTCATCAGATGGAAAAAACTATGTGTGTTTAAACTCACTGGGACGTGTATATATTAAAGTTCACCTAGAAAGATGTTAAACTTCACATAGAAGTCTAAAGCATTCAAAATGTGTGTTAGGAAGTTTTACTTTGAGTTTAAAGATCCTGTATATACCGGTATGTTGAACATGAGGTTGTTACCACACTTAAGTGAAATTTTACATATGTAGATATAATTATACTTATAAAACAACTTTCAAACATCGAGGAATATGTTAAATATGTACTGCAAATATTATATGTATTAATTAAAATATATGCATTCATTTCTTATTGAAAAAATTGACTTAGACTTTATAGAAAATAAATTTCTAATTACCTCCCTTTATTTATGAAATGTTAAAGTTGGTAATATCTTTATCAATAATGCTTTTTGGAACTTATAATATTGATAAATCTTAGTTTGAGCATCATATTTATGATATAAAACCATAAAAAATTGTGTTACGGGATCTTTAAAGGATAACAAAATAGGCCTTACTAGTATAGCTAATGTAATGGCAGATGTGGAAAGCGTTATCGCTCATCATCGTCGGACAATTTACTGGTACGACACATGCCAATGTTGGGTGATTCATTTCTTAGTTATAGACTTTTAACTGACGCACTTATAAATACATATATTGTTACCTATAAATTGTTTTTTTTATTTAATTTGTTTGTCATATAACGATCGATGTGCCTCTGTGTGTTCAATTTATGAAAATAGTTCTGTTCTGTTATTAATTAAACTAATAATATAGTGTTTTTTTCTTTTTCTTTTTGTTGTATCTTTGGTTTTTCCATAAAAAGTGTTTTGCGTTAAAGTAACGGTTTTAAGTAGAAATTCGCGTAGAGTATCCAATAGTGTGAATATGTTATACACCTGACACACATACACATGATAAACATACATGTACATTATGTACCCTTGTTGATATCGAGTATAGGGTCAAATGTTTATCGATAGTGTTTGTCTCATTAATTTTGTTCGTGACTTCTGGATACAGTATATGTTATTTATCAATATAATTATATTGAATTTCTCATAACAGTAGCGAGCGAAATTATATTTAACAAGTAATGGCGAATGCTGATCGAGTCACAGGTGGAAAATTTAAACTTTCATCTGAATCAGAAAGCTGTGCCACATGTGCAAAAAGGAATAGGATATGCTCTACGAAGTATTGTGTAGATTGTAGTGAACGTTTTTGTACAGTGTGTAACGAGACTGGGGACACTATTACGGGGCATACTTTGCATAACGTCATCGAATGTCAAAATGACCCGGATACAGTGGAATGTGACGTGCGGTTTACGTGCGACGACCACCCTAACGCAGATATTATTACTTTCTGCAAGTTACACGATGTCTTATGTTGCAGTGAATGTGTGAAGGAACATCACGGGTTAAAATGTTTGAAATACATTTGTTACGTACATAATTTCAATTCTACTGTATTGAATACTGCAACGCTGATATCAATATGAAGTAAGTCGGTTACCAATGCACGGTATATATTCCGTACATACTACAATAGCTAGATATTGTAGTATGTACGGAATATATACCGTGGGTAACGGACGATGGTGTTGGCCTAATGCAACCCGTTAATTGCTTTTTGAAGGCAAATACCCTTCTTCAGGATAGTCAGCTCGCACTTCGTCCCTGTTATGTAACAAGGAATATAGTTATAGTACATGAAACGAGTTAGTTACCAGAATATATAACACTGGCTTGGGTGTAAGGTGAAATTTTATCGTTTTATCATAAAATGTGATTTAAATAATAAACCCCGACATATTTCCTACTGAAATCGTATAAAATGTCGCGGGGAACGAATAAACCTCGATGGAATATTTTGAATCCAGTGGCCGGTAGCGTCCATGGTTCCCTCGTTTGTCTGTAAAAAGTCTAGGAGCAGAAAGAAATCCGTGACATTTTTTTGCAAGTGTTGTAAAAATTCTACAAAATGTTCCTAAACAACGTTGCATACTAATATATAGCAATTTTCAGCCGCGGCTTTTTCGCAGAGACAATTTTCCGGCACAAAACGTCGAGGCTTAATGCTCAAACTCGAATTTTATAATGTATTGAGTATGCATCAAAAGAAAATATCGCGGATTGTAATGGCGCAATCGGCTACTTAAGTAGCGTATGTCTGCGTGACTTAGTCTAAGTACACAGAAAATGTCGCGGTTTCTTTGATTAAACTTGACTTTTTACGTCAGAAGTGTGACAAAAACTGCGACATTTTATACAATTTCGACATAAAATGTCAAGGATTTAAAAGTTGCCCGTGACATTCTATAAACTGACGGTAAAATTTCTCGGGGCTTTAAAATAGACATTTGCCGCCACCATAGGGGCGACATCGAGGGATATATCTGCTAACTACAGGCCGAAACGACTATTTTGCAGAAACATATCCCGAGATGTCGCCCAGCCAGTGGTATACCCCCGTAACTAACGAGTTTTATATATTTTAAGCGTTTTATCGCAATTTAATAATTTTTGTTTCAAATATAATTAACCAATACCAGCTTATTAATTTAAGTTTTTTACTACTGAGAATGTTGATACCCTGTTCCATACCCACCTTTATAGAAACAACACTGATATATATCAGGTGCAAACATACTCAACTGTTATATATCTGTTGATATTTTTCTTTTATGAATCAATGAATAAGGCACTGTTTTATATTTTAATACAATTTTCAAACCCTCATTGAAAGTGTACTGAATCTGGGACTTAAAATATACATATTTTATGTATATTTTAAAACGTAAGTTAGTGGGTTAGAAAGAACGGAGTTAATTTTCCAAACCATGACATAAAACCGAACAGTGAGAGTACGGAGATTGTAGGGAGGTAACACTTAATTTTCAAATTTTATTGTACCCTTGTTTAAAAAAAAGGCAGCATAAAATGTGACTAAATAGGAAAATAATTTAGCCCCACCCCTTTAAAGAAGTGGGAGTATATTGCTTTGCATTTGTCTGTCTGTCTGTCGGTCGGTCGGAAAACCAATTATTTCCGATCAATAACTTAAGAACGCTTAGGCCTAGGAACTTCAAACTTGGTGTGGCGATTGTTCATGACAAGCAGATGACCCCTATTGATTTTTAGGTCAAGAGGTCAAAGGTCAAGGTAACATTGACCTTGTAAGTAAAAACAATTTTCGAACAATAACTTGACAACCAATGGGTTGTTGGCCCTCAAACTTTGAAGGTGCATTAATCTTGGCCAGTTGATGACTCCTGTTGATTTTGAGGTCATATTGACCTTGTAGGTAAACACGGTTTCCGACCAATAATTTGACAACCCATGGACCCTTGGCCCCCAAAGTGCATAGATGCATTGGTTTTGGCCAGTAGATGAGTCCTATTGATATTGGGGTTAAGAGGTCAAAGATTAAGGTTACATTGACCTTGTAGGTTAAAACGGTTTCTTAGCGATAACTTGATAACCCATGGGCTGTTAGCCCTTAAACCTTATAGGTGCATTTGTCTTGGCAAGCAGATGACCCCTTTCGATTTTAAATTTAGGGTAAAGTCAAGGTCTTATTGACCTTGTAGGTAAGAACGGTTTCCGATCAATAACGTGACAACCCATGGACCCTTGATCCTCAAACTGCATAGGTACACTGGTCTTCGCCAGTAGATAACCCCTATTAATTGAGGGTCAGAGTTTAGGGTCACATTGACTTTGTTTGCCAAACCAGTTTCGTATCAATAACTCGACAACACATTGACACTTGATCTTAAAATTTCACAAATGCATGGCTTTTGGTCAGAAAATGACCTCAATTGATTTTTTGGGTCAAGGGGTCAAAGGTCAAGATCACAATGACCTTATAGGTGAAAACGGTTTCTGGTCAAGATTTCTGCAACTCATAGGCCCTTTTACCATCAAACTTCACAGATGTATTGGTCTTGGCCAGTAGATAACCACTATTGATTTAAGGGTCAAAGCTCAAAATCACATTAACTTTGTAAGTAAACGCATTGCCTTGATATATTAATCTTTGACCTCTTAACCCCAATATCAATAGGATAATGCTTTTGATATACACATTTTAAGGTCTCATAATATAACAAATTGGCTGTTACTAAGGAGGCCTACATGCTTCATTAAATTTATGCATATATTATTTGGTAAGATTCGTGCAAACTTTTCATAAAGTTGCTTTACGGTCAAAATGACCTAATGTTTAGTTATGACCATTAGATAACCCCGATAAATTGTTTAGTCACTAGGTCAAAAGTCAGTCACAATAACCTGGCCACGTGACTAATTAGCTGTCGATAGGGGGCATACATGTTTTACAAACACATCTTGTTTGAGATTTTGTCTGATCAAAGTGTCATTTCTGTTTACCATTAAATAAAACTGTGATTCTAGGACTGTACGAGTTTTGATTCCCATTAATTTGCACTCATATTTTGGTGCAATAACGTTGGCTTTATATTTTGAGGTTTTTAATCTTTTTCAGGTCATGCCCGACATTGACGCTACCAAACGCTTACAAAGACTTAGCTGACACTGAAACTGAGAAGAAAATGATGGAAAATTTAGCTTTGATTAAAGAACACCTAATAGATACAATCAAGCTTCACAAAGACGTAAAGAAAGTATTACAGAATGATAAAGATAAGATTATGAATAGTTTACGGGAATTACGATCATCCATGGAAAAAATGCTTGAAGATTTGGAACGCTCAGCCATATCAAAATTATTGAAGGCATGTGAAAACATAGAATCAGAGTTCAGACAGAACGCAGAAGCAGCTGAAAAGCATTTGTCTGACATCTTGAAATATGAGAAAGAAATAAACCAGCAAATGCTTAATGACGCAAACAAATTCGTGCTCTTTAAAAGAGTAGATCATCAAAAAGAGTTATCCAGAACCGCGAGCGAGAAATGCTTGAAACCACCTGTCAGAAGCATCCATTTCGAACCGAACATAAAACTGAAGACACTTTTGCAAGAAGCTGAACAATTGGGAACATTTTCTTTCCTTTCAAACGAGAAGTCGGGTGTTAAAAAACAGCCTGACTTTCTAATAAGCTCAGGTCAAATATCGCAAGATGTCAAGACTGAAGAGGATGAAAACCTTAGTATAATAAACAGAATATGTGTAACTCCGGACGGAAATGTTTGTCTTGTTGACTATGCAAATAAGAAATTGAAACTACTAGAGAGTCCGTCATATAAGGTTATTGATTCTATGAACCTCGAGCGAGATGTAACAGAGATAGGTCTGTGTCCTGTTGACAATGGCGAGGTAATGATTTGTGTTGGTCAAGAGATTATTTTCGTGTCAGTCGTTGGTAAATTGAAGTTGGTAAGGTCATTGAATTTAACGCATGAATGTCTAAACGTAGGATACAGCGATCGAAAGATTTTTGTATCTGACGGTGCCGGCTGTATTCGATTGTACTCGATGTCAGGGACACCAATTAGTGAAATACATACAGACGTGTATGAGAATAGTTTGGTTTGTAGTGGGGATGGCAACTTTGTGTATTTAGGAGCGGAAGAAGAACTGGTTGCAATTGATATGCATGGGGGAATTTATTGGAAGTACAGTTCTGAAGAGATAGGAATGTCCTGTATAAGGGATGTAAACATAGATGGTTTTGGAAATGTATTAGTATGCGGTGATAGCCCAGGGGAAGGTAATGACATTGTGGCATGTGTTGATGCAGATGGAAAAGTTATAAGTACATACGATGGAGGTTTCGAACATTATTATAGACCATCGTGCTTGTGCTTTGATAGGCAACATTTCAAAATTATCGTAGCAAATTGCTCTGGAGGAAACATCGTGATAAATGATTTTGGATATAACCTTTAAAACTTAATTTGAAACATCTTTGACCTAGTAATTACATGCAGGTACTGATTTTGATTTATATTGGTTCTGTGACTGTCGTTTTCAAATAAGATAGGGAACATTTGGTGTTATTGAATGAAAGTGCAGTCAAACTAAAGTACAGTAAGAGAATCTATGAATATATACTGCCTATTTTATAAAATATTTCAGAGAGGTGCACCAGAGATTGTAATATTCTTTGTATATCTTATATACTATTAAAGTTGGTCCATGCGATTCACAAATGTGAATATAATAAGAGAAAAGACACAAGTGTGTTCTAGTCAGTTTTATTATCTGGACTGGTGTATTGGCGGGAAATCTCCCAGGATATAACATTCTACAGGCACAACGTGGTCAGTGGAAATTTACAGAAATGAGTATTAAGGTTAAAGGTCATATGAATATAAAATAACTCAATATCATTACATTTCCCTCTTTTTGAATACATAGCTGAATAGTATCCACATGTTGATAAATCATAAAGGAATATGGTTCAATTTAAAAATAACGTTAGAATAACACATGTTTAAATATCAATTAAGTAATCAGTTTATATAAACAAATATATGTTTATCAAACAATGTATGTGTTTATTCCAGTTTATATATTTTTTTCTTTATAGTTTAATTTTTTGTTTGTGATGTATTCTTATTAGTTAGCACTCAGTATTTTTTTTTCAATTGTTCACCATGTTCTCATTATAATATCGTTTGTTCAATTTCACTTCCCTGCCTGATCGTGTGTGATAATAGTGGTCAATTGGGCTGGGCTTATTGGAGGTCAATGAGTGGTCAGCATCATGTGATTCTGAAATTTTCCCATTAATTGAGGGAGTGATAGGGTTATTAGCCAAAATGTTGGGGGAAAATTCTTGAATTTCTGGGAAAGTTTCTTCAGTTTTATTAAGCATTCGCCTATTTCTGCGGTAAATGCCACCTGCATGAGTTATTACAGAGTAGGATCGGTCATTGTGAATTTTTATCACTTTTGCTGGTTCCCATGTTTTGTTGACCTTGATGCGGACATACTCATTAAGTGTAAGAAGGGGTAGTTGCTTTGATGTTTTATCATAGCAACTTTTTTGTTTCTGCTTTATTTTTTGCATCTTTTCGCGTACCTGTTTACAATTTACTGTTTTGGGTTATAACTGAGAATTTGTGGTAGGTAGAATAGATTTAGTTCTTCTACCCATTAGTAATTGATTTGGGGAGAAGCCACATTCAAGAGAGGTGTTTCTGTACTCAAGTATCGCGAGCTAAGGATCTCGGTTACTCTCCTGAGCTTTCCTGAATATCCGTTTAATAATCGACACTATTTTTTCGGCAAATCCATTACTGTTTGGATGGAGTGGGCTGGATGTTATGTGGGAAAACCCCCAATCTTTTGCAAAATCTGAAAATATTTCAGAAGACAATTGTGGCCCATTATCAGTGACAAGTTTGTCACAAATGCCATACCTTGCTAAGTGAACTTTTAGCTTTCTTATTATAGTAATGCTTTGCGTGTTAGGTAGAGCATCTACCTCAAAGTATCTACTATAGTAGTCTACAGTCAGCAAGTAGTCCTTACTGTCAAAGGAGAAGAGATCAGCGGCAATGTTTTGCCAAGGTCGGTCCGGCACGTCGTGGGGAGTTAATGGTTCTTTTGCGTTGGAATACCTGTACTTTTGACATAAAGCACATTTTAAAACATGATTTGTGATTTCTTTTGTCATACCAGGCCAAAACATTACGTCTTTAGCCCTTTGTAAACATTTTTCCACACCCATGTGACCTTGGTGCACTGATTCAATCACCTGTTTTCTTGCAGAGATAGGTATGACGATTATCTGCCCTCTGAATATAAGGTCATTTACAGACGACAATTCGTCCCTGTGGTTCCAGAACTCAATTATTTCTTGTTTACAGTCTGCACGTGAAACTGGCCATCCGTCAATAATAGTTCTCTTCAGAATCTGCATGCTCGTGTCATTTTGAGTTTCATGCCTGATTAATTCCAGTCTATTATCGGTTATGTGTAACACTTTCAACACTGTATGTACATGTAAGTCGAGACCCTCTAATTGTAATGTCTCTGGAAGCGGTTGTCTAGAAAGTAAGTCACTGATTGGTACTTATTTTCCAGGAACGTGGCGTACGTCAAGGTCAAATTTTGATAACTGTAACCGCATTCTTTGAAGTCTCGGTGGACATGCAGACAAACTTTTCAACATGATTGAGCTAAAAGGTTTGTTGTCGGAGTGTACAATTACATGTCTACTGTATACATTCTGATGGAAGCGCGTGCAACCAAACAGTATTGCTAACATCTCTCTTTCTATGTTAGCATAATTAGATTCAGTCTCTGTCAATGTCCTAGAAGCGAAGGCAACTGGGCGGCCATTTTGGATGATGGCTGAGCCGACCCCACGCATCGAAGAGTCACATTCAAGAGTTACACTCTGTTTTGGGTCAAAGTATGCAAGAACAGGGGTACTTGTGATTATGTTTTTCATTTTCGTAAATGCTTCTGCCTGGGAAAAATCCTAAACAAATTCTACATCTTTCTTTAGTAGGGATCTCATGGGGCTTGTGACCTCTGCTAGGTTTGGAGAGAATTTTTGCAGATAATTTGCCATACCAAGAACATTTTCAAGTTGCTGTCTATTTTCTGGTATTTTCAGGTTCATAATTGCCTCTATTTTAGTAGGATCTGGCTTTAACCCTTTTGATGTTATTAGGTGACCAAAGAATGGGACTTCCTTTACTCCGATGATACATTTGTCCGGATTGAACTTTACTCCCTTGGAATGTGCTCTTTCAAGGGCGTTACGCAAGTTTGCGTCATGTTCTTCACGTGTCTTCCCATATATCAAAATGTCATCTACTATGGCTGTTAGACCCTGCAATCCTTCAAAAATTTCATCTACTTTCTGCATTAATATGTCACTCGATGCAGATATGCCATATGGGAGTCTTAACCAACGGTATCTGCCGAATACCGTGCTGAAGGTTGTTAATAATGAAGACTGTTCATCAAGTTTGATACTCCAGTATGCGTGTGTAATGTCAAGTATGCTGAAGTATTTTGCATCAGTCAGTCTTGATGTAACGTCGTCAATAGTACGCATTGGGTAGTGAGGTCGCCTTATAGCCTCATTTAAAGCTTTGGATCAAGGCAAACTCTGAGTTTTCCTGTCTTTGGTTTTTCTACAATTACTAGGGAGTTTACCCAGTCCGTGGGTTCAGTGATCTTAGTTATTATTCCATCATTCTCCATGCGCTGGAGTTCTTCGTGAAGCCTGTCCCTTAAAGCTTCCGGCACTCGCCTAGGTGCGTTTATTACAGGAACAGCATCACTCTTAATGTGAAGTTTACATTCACCTGGGATGACCCCTACACCTTGGAATAAGTTCCCATACTCTGACATGACCCTTTGTTTATCTAATTCTGTATTTGACCTGTCTATTGAATATGTGAGCTTTATCAGGCCTAAGTTAACAGACGATTGTTAACTTAGCAGCGGGACTGTCGGACTATCAACAACATAACATAATGATTCGCTAGTCTTGTTGTTGTAGCGCAATTGCAGATTTATTATACCGCATACAGGTAATCTATTTTCTGCGATTTCAAGAGGTCGTTTTATCTTTAGTTTCTCATAATGGCTCAATGGTAGAATATCTACCGCGCTCCCAGTATCTATCTTAAATTTAACAGGAATATGGGAAGGACCGACATTAATTGGAACAAAGGCACGATCAGGAAAAGAAGATGAAAATTTTACCATACCAACGTGATAATCCTGATTTTCCGAATGAACATTGTCTCTATAATTGTATTCAGAATACTTCACATTGTCAACGTTTTTATTTCTAGATCTGCAAACGCTTGCAAAATGATTTTGCTTTCCGCATGCGTAACACGTTGCATTTTCAGCTGGACATTTTGACCCTGGTCTGTGAGTGTTCTGTCCACATCGTTGACATTTCAGTGGTTTTCTTCCATCTTGTTTTTGAGTGTTATATTAATTTCTTTGTTGTTGTTGTTGTTGTTTAGGTTGTTGAAATGGTTGGTTCTTGTATCCTTTATGTTTTGATTTGTGCTGCTTAACCAGGTGTACATCATTAGCTGCTGCCGTTGATTGAAGTTGTTTCTGTGCATATTCGTGTGCTTGTGCGATTTGAATAGCATTTTCGAGTGTTAATACCTCGCCTTTGTTTATCAACTTCTCTCGTACTTTTCCAGAATTTGTCCCAAAAACAATTCTGTCTCTGATCATTTCGTCCTTGTCTTTAAAGCTGCAATCTGCTGCACTTAGTCTTAATCTTGTGATGAAGGCATCAATACTGTCAGGGCCTTGCACTTCATTGTTAAACTTGTACCTCGCGAATATCGGGTTCAAGGACGGCTGCACATGTGCTTTGAACTTTTCATAATAAGTCTGAAGATTTTCAGCATCATCACCAGTGAAGGGCTCCTTTGTAGCGTGAATGTCCCTGCCCTTGTCACCGACCCATATCAACAAATATGATATTTTTTCTTTCTTAGATTTGTTCTTGAGCGGCCCTGTAAACATCAGTTCAACATGCCTTTGGAATTTAATCCATTGTTCAGGAAAATTTGACGCTTCCCAGTTTATAACTGGCACAGAAAGTCCTGTTAATTCCATATTTTGTTATCTTATAATTCCAACTATAAATTCTGACACCATGTAATTTTCTTTGTATATCTTATATACTATTAAAGTTGGTCCATGCGATTCACAAATGTGAATATAATAAGAGAAAAGACACAAGTGTGTTCTAGTCAGTTTTATTATCTGGACTGGTGCATTGGCGGGAAATCTCCCAGGATATAACATTCTACAGGCACAACGTGGTCAGTGGAAATTTACAGAAATGAGTATTAAGGTTAAAGGTCATATGAATATAAAATAACTCAATATTATTACAGAGATGTTATTTAAACATTGTTATGTGATCTTGATGGTGTAATGAAACTCCTAGCCAACATTAAAATAAATTGATTACTTCAAAATTATATATTTCCCTGAATAAAACGCTAATGCAATGCTTTTGCCAAGCATTTTGTCCTATCAACATGCATTACAATGTAATTTTAATTATTAATTAAACTGTTTGGCAAAAGCGTTGCATAAGCGTATTACAATGAAATCTTGCCTTAGAAATCCGTTTACAAATATTTTATGCTTTCGGAAGGATGAATGTTCTTCCCTGGTACACTGGATTCAATCCAGAAATAAAACAAGAAAAGCATTGATGCAAAGCATCAAAGGGCGTACAAGCGAGAAATACAGCAAGTGAAGATGAACTAGTAGACATTTTCTTATAAACTTTTCAATGGTTAATTGGTTTTAACAAGTATTGTATATCATTTATGAATGGGCGGATGAAAGACATTGCTCATCATGAACTTTGGTAGGCATGCTAGAGATTTGAATATTAAATGCTTTTTCCACAGGAACTTCAATTCGATCAATGTTAACGATAGTATCCAAAATATACAGGTCTATAATATCCAAAATATATAGATATATATATATATGGTATAAATAGTATCAAAAAAATATACAGGTCTATAATATCCAAAATATATAGATATATATATGGTATAAATATATATGGTATAATAGTCCAAGAAATCTGTGCATAAAATAGGGCGAATTGTGCACCTCTTGTGAAAAGCATGAAACTTGACATGGTGGCAGGAAATCGTATTTCAATTCATTTCAGCCTGGGATACACTTTTTAAAATTCCAATATGGCCGCCAAAATCCAAGATGGTCTCCATTTATTAAATTTTCAGAATAATTGGGTATGTCAGCTGTGTCATAATTAGAACTGTATGAAATAGCACCAATTCATTTAATTACACATCAATTTATATTCAAGCTTCGCATTTAGGTTGTGCAAATTTAAGATGGTCGCCAAAATCCAAGATGGCCACCATAACTTATTTTTTCAGAATATAAAAATTCTACATTTTTACAGCTCATCATTAAGCCCCACACCAGAAAAAGGTCCCAGTTGAAAAGTTTGGTTCACTCCAAACATCAACATGTCTGACACCGAATCGAATACAAGAGGACAACCGTCCGGAGAGCTGTAATAAAATGCTGGATTTACAAATATTCAAGTCAAAAGTCTGCATCGATGACGTGAGTATTGACTTCACTTGCTTGAATATTAAACCACCTCGTCAAACATGTAGAAAAAAACAACAACAAAAAACAAAAACAAAAAAAAAAACAGTTTAAGTGACAGTGCAACTATCTTAACTAGAAGTCCATGATTCAGAGCCAGGAACGCATTAAACAAGTATTAACTACCCTGGCTGGAAAAGAAAGTGCGGTGGACGTACGATTCGACGTTTCATTTTCTCGGCGACCGAGGAGCGGTTTCGAGATTGCGCAACAAAGCTATGGTGTTGCAGTTCGAAAGCAACACACCGAAACAGTTCCTGTGTTAAATAATACATCGGAACTGTGTACTGCCTCCCAAACCCATAACAAATGGAGGCTAAATACAAGTTCTTATTTCTTTCTTATAATTGCTGTCTGTATGGGCCGAGAAACAAGTTAACTACGCATAAGCACATATTGCCTCAGAAACAAATAAAAAAAGTTCTTTGGAAAGAACAAACATGATTTAAGTAATGTTTAAATAGTGATTTACGAGCGTGTAAGAGGCTTATTACCTGGAAAAGTAACACTGAATGTGAACTTATTTGTCATAAAAGAAGCAAAATGTAAATTATTCACTGAAGCGTAATGTGATTCAGTAAATGAATTAGAGTTTGTAAACAGGACAGTAAATATAAAATGATTTTAATAAAGAAAATAAAAGCCTTTCTAGAGCACAATGGGCCTTTAAATTACATATTTTGTATAATTTGTAAGTCAGTTTTATGTTAATTGTTTCTAAATCGGAACTGAACAGATTCATTGTTATTTATTAAT